GTTCGAATATTTCTTTGTTTTCACGGGTGCTTTGCTAACTTCATATGAAGTTAGCAAGGCACCCCCCTTAAATATATAATAAAAAAAAATTTTAATAGTTAATATTTTGCCGTTAATTTGTCGCTAATTAGTTGTAAATAAATTAATTTTGTCGTTCGCATATTTCTTTGTTTTTATGGGTGCTTTGTTAACTTCATATGAAGTTAGCAAGGCAGCCCCCTTAAATACGTGATAATATTTTTTTTTAATTGTTAATATTTTGCCGTTAATTTGTCGCTAATTAGTTGTGAATAAATTAATTTTGTCGTTTAATAATTTTTATGTCATATGAAGTTAGCAAAGCACCCGTGAAAACAAAGAAATATTCGAACGACAAAACTAATTTTTTCACAACTAATTAACGAAAAATTAAAGGCAAATTATTAACAATTAAAAAAAAAATTATCACATATTTAAGGGGGCTGCCTTGCTAACTTCATATAAAGTTAACAAAGCACCCATAAAAACAAAGAAATATGCGAACGACAAATTTAATTTATTCACAACTAATTAGAGACAAATTAACGGCAAAATATTAACTATTATGTTTTTTTATCAGATATTTAAGGGGGCTGCCTTGCTAAAATCATATGAAGTTAGCAAAACAGCCGAAAAAAAACAAAAAATTATTAAACGACAAAATTAATTTATTCACAACTAATTAGCGACAAATTAACGGCAAAATATTAACAATTAAAAAAAAATATTATCACGTATTTAAGGGGGCTGCCTTGCTAACTTCATGTGAAGTTAACAAAGCACCCATAAAAACAAAGAAATATGCGAACGACAAAATTAATTTATTCACAACTAATTAGCGACAAATTAACGGCAAAATATTAACTATTAAATTTTTTTTTATCAGATATTTAAGGGGGGTGCCTTGCTAACTTTATATAAAGTTAGCAAAGTACCTGTGAAAACAAAGAAATATTCGAACGACAAAATTAATTTTTTCACAACTAATTAGCGACAAATTAACGGCAAAATATTAACTATTAAATTTTTTTTTTATCAGATATTTAAGGGGGGTGCCTTGCTAACTTCATATAAAGTTAGCAAAGCACCCGTGAAAACAAAGAAATATTCGAACGACAAAATTAATTTTTTCACAACTAATTAACGACAAATTAACGGCAAATTATGCATCTAATCGCTTTTTGATTAGCGATGGATGCTTTGCTAACTTCATATTCATGCTAATATTTGCTACTAAGTTTATAAAGTCTGTTTTTATCTCGATGTTTGCAGAATTTTTTATTAGCGTGCTAACATGCGATTAATGAGTTGAGTTGAGCGCCCTCTATCTCAAAAACGGTTCGACTTATAAAAAAATGTTATAAACAAAATTTGTAGAGAATTTTATTCTCTACAACTTTTATAATAAATGTAAATACGATACGAGGCAGAGAAAACGAGATATTCTCAGAAAACTTATTTTTGCGACCTTTGACCTTGAATATCTAAGGCCGCTCACACGTTGGCATATGCGACTTTTGAGACAACATTTGTAATGCTAAAATAAAGGTTGTCACAAAAATTCAGCTTATTCCGTTAGATTCCGAGGTTGATCCCCTTTTTTGACTAAGAGATATCGTGAATATTTTTCTCGAAAATGCTCTAGGAATAGCACCATGACAGACCTTTTTCATTGGTTGCTCGTGTCCTCAGACCCATTAATTTCAAGTTTGAGATTGGATCCGCCGAAAAAAAAAAACATTCTTTCAAAGGAGGCAATAAAATTATTGACTATTACAAGCGTAAATTCAACATTAAGGAATTCTGATCTTAGTTAAGATTCTGATGAATGAGATGAATTTACCTCTGACAGGTATTATATATAAGTTGTGTTGGGTGAAATAAATAATTCTTAATAACAGAAAAATACATGATTGTATCATATAATATGGTATATAATATAGTCTAAATATTTGAAATGGCGGGTTTAAAATGACAGATTCTTACTGCCAAAAATAATAATAAGCCACACCTCGTAAAAGGGTTGGGTTCCGAATAAAAATAGATGAAATATATTCATTTTTTAAACATATTTTTGTAATATTATATATATATAGTATATATATATATATATATATATATTTCGTCTATTTTTTTCGGGACCCAACACTTTTGATAGGTGTGACTCGACTTAGATTGTAATGTAATAATTATTTTTGACAGTAAGTCTGTTTTTCTAAATTCGCAATTTTAAATTTAAAAAAAAGTTCAAATGCATAACTAGCGACCTCAAAAACCCCGGTGCAGGTCATTTCGCTTAAATCGAACTATTTTTAAAGGTACAAGTACGCCATTTTACATTCGCCATTTTGAATTTTTAAAAATAAATTACAAATTTAAAAAGAGCGACCCCAAAAACCCTGCCATACCAATTTTGGCTTCAATCGGACCTTGTTTCGACTTTTCACCACTTTTTTTGAAAAATCGGCCACATTGCAATGTTCACATAAATAATTCTCTATCGATCGGTGATAACGCGCTATATATAAATTTATCAGGGGTGCTTCCACTCTTCTTTTTCTATTTTTTTTAATTGAATAATATGTTCAATTTCAAAGAAAAAGTTGTTTATGAGATATTTAAATTAAATTAAAGGTTTGAAAATCATCTAAAAATACGAGCATAAAAATTAAAAAATAACAAAAGTCATGAAGTCTTTACTGGGATATGTTTTTTGTTCGCTTTTAGTTTTATATAAGGAACGGTATGAAAGACCAAACTGTTTCGAGCATTTTAATAATTATTACTATACCGGGTGTATCTGAGAATAGGCGCACCCCTGTAACTTTTTATTTATAAAGATAGACACATGAAATTTAGCATGGTTAATTAGGATATAAAATGCCGTATAAGCGTATAAGATGAATGTTTTTAACTTCCGGTTTCGCCGGAAATGATATCAACTTTCGATTTTTAAATGGAACGCCCTATATATTTTTACATACAGTGCTTGCAAATCTAAGTCCGACCGGTTTGGGAAGGACGCGTGAAAATAACAGGGATAGAACGCCAAACAGAAGGCGCTTACAATACGCACGCCTGACGCTCTGACCAATCAAATTCTGTTTGGCATTCTATCCTTATTCTTTTCACGCGGGTATTGAACAACCATCCTTCCCAACGTGGTCGGACTTGGATTTGCAAGCACTGTATTTAAAATCCTGAGAAAATTCTGAGTCGGACAGCACCTCAAATTGACCTTTCGACGTTTCGTCATCAAAATGCATCATCATAAATATCAATCTAGAGTGCTTTGATCTATTTGAGAAAAACGAATTTTGACAAGTTTGGACTGCTGGGAATAGCTGAATAACAACTTTCTAAGGCAAGTTTCATTTTTCAGGCATTGTGTGAATCCATTAGAAGAAAATAAAATCAATTTTCCAATTTTCGTAGAAAAAAAGTATTTTTTAGTACCTACATAACCACATTTAATTTTTTTGGGACCCTTAAAATAAAAATGTTAAAGGGGGCGACATTATAGGGGATCACCCTGTACCTAGCATCTATTAGTTAAATTAGATATCATTTTTTAATTTATTTAATTTTTAGGGGGGGGGTAAACCCTAAACTGGTCCTTCACCATTTAAAAGTTTTCATACCCAGGATTTTTCTCTAAAACATTTTTCATTTTTTTAACTTCTTTTGCTGCTTTGCCAGGTGCCTTTTCGTTCTGATATACAGTTTTAATAATATTTAAAGAAACTGGCAGCGGCTGCTCTTTTGTTTCTAATGTTGCAATTGTCTGAATTTATATCTGAAAATGGCATTTTATATATACTAGGTCATCTTTCACTCCTCTTGTAGACATTGCTTTCTTAGCATCGACTATTGATGCTGCATCGTCCTCATCTAGACTTTCGAGTATTTCCCGGATCTTTTCAAAATAGCAGGCAGCATTTAGCCAAGTTTCAAACATTGTTTTGGTCGTTCCAATATGTTAAATCACTTGCGAACGTTTATCGGCGCAGTTCACATATATTACAAAATAATATAGACCCATCTGTTTTAAATACATCTCCATACTCTCGCACATAACCATTTAAACTTACACAAGTTGAGGTTTTTGGTCTCATTTTATAATAGTCGACTGCACTGACTGAATTATATTGATACTCACACATAACCCATTTATATAATACAATAGGTATAAAAATTAATTACCTGATTTGTTAAATATAATAATCCGGTATTAGAAACATTATTTATTCATTAATGAATCATTATTATTAATAAAGGCGGAAAGGCTTATAACAGGATTATATGGATTTATATGTATAAAATATGTGTTTATGGGTGAAAATACGAAAATATTCCATTATAAGTAAATACTTAAAAATATGCATTTAATAAGGAAAAACACGTAAATATGCATTTATATTCAAAAATATTTAATAACATAAAAATCCGAACCCTAGTCATGATATATCGATCAATCGATCGGATGTTAAAATTTAATCATTAATTTTTGAGTCAATGTTAATAAAGATCTATCCACTTTTCATTATTTAGGTCCTGTTGCATATAAATCGTTTTTGATTAATAAAATGGCAGTGTTCAAATTTTTAAATATCGCCAAAATATTAAATATTCCATAAATCACAAATTTCAACTTTGAAGCGGGGTGTTTAAACAAAAGTTGTTGCAAATTGAGTTAGAAACTATATTATGAATTTACGACTAATTTTATAGAAACCGCAGAAAACTTATATAAACCCCCTACCTCGGATGTTTAATGCGCTGTTTTTGTTTTAAAACTTTTTTTCAAAACAATAAAAAACCCACACAAACAAAGATGGCAAACAAATTTTGTTGTAATTTCGCACTTTTGGGTTTCTTTAATTTTTAAATTATTATTATTATTATTTAAATTGTTAAAATAAAGAAACATCCTTAGGTAGGAAAATGTTTTTAAATCTAGTTCATGTGAGTTACATGCTTACCATTAGGTTTTCTTCAATATCTTTATTATCTTCAAATCGTTCTGAACTTAAAAAGGTTGGTATATTGACTGGTAAAGATTTTGCTATGCTTATACTTCCAGATCTACACCGATTTATCTTAGTAGATTCGTCTTTTCCTGTAATTAAAAACATACAAATCAGTATTAAAAAAAATTACCAAAATATTTCATACAAAAAGAAAAAGGTCTGGAGACATCTACCGTCTAGAGACGTGGCCTCGCTGTGCGGCGTGCAATCACAATGCACTTAAACACACAGTGGTAGGTTTTATCAAACCGTACGCGGCCCAAAAGAGTCGAACTAGCTTTGACCAGCTATGCGGCAATATTTCAGAAACAATAGGTTTTTTACTTTACGCCAGTAGTAGGCAACTAATATTGCAAAGACTGAAATGCCTTCCATCTCGAGATAGGTATAACAGAAAACCTTGTATACCTAACATCCAACATCCACCTAGCTTTTAGCAGATATTAAACCATACTAGCCGTCTTTATTGACATAAAGGCAGCATATGAAAACGTAAACACCTCAATCATCTATAATTACTTATCAAAACTCAACATACCTCATAATTACTCAAACTTAATCTGTAATATTCTATCTCACAGGAACTTGTTTATTAGGGATTGCGACAACCATATTCATGGCCCTGCATTGGTCGGGAATGGTCTGGCACAGGGATCCCCATTGAGCCCATTGCTGTTTAATATTTATATCCAGTCAATATTTAAGATAATTCCCAAAAATACATGCCTACTGTGTGATTTGGTTCTTTTTACCAGGGGTAACAATATAACAAAAATGACAGAAACCATTAACAAAACTCTAAATATTATAAATCTATGGTTTTCTAAACATAAACTCTCAATATCATCAGACAAAACTGAATTCATATGGTTCAGGAAAAGAAAAAGTAAACAATCACCACCAACAATAAATATAAGGAAATAAATCAGCATGCCTGCTTATTTTTATTGTTGGTGGTGATTGTTTACTTTTTCTTTTCCTGAACCATATGAATTCAGTTTTGTCTGATGATATTAAGAGTTTATAATTAGAAAACCATAGATTTATAATATTTAGAGTTTTGTTAATGGTTTCTGTCATTTTTGTTATATTGTTACCCCTGGTAAAAAGAACCAAATGCAGGCAAATATCAAGTATTTGGGAGTTATCTTCAACGAATTTCTTAAGTGGAACAACCAGGTCACGGGAATGATTGCTAAAGCCAACCAAGGCATTAATGTGATGAGGTTTAGTGGGGAGCAGACCCCAAAATATTGTTAATGGTATACCATTTTCAAGAAACACGCTTTCAGGAAAATGAAGATCAATTTTTTTTTTGCTTAAATTGACTTGGGATTGTAACTTTGGATTTTTATAAATGTTTTGAGTTTTGTTTACTTACATTTAAGACAGGCAGTGCACTTTTTAATTTTTTTACGTTTTTTTTTCAGAAAAATGTGTTTAGCTAGCTTAATATGCATATCTCCACTGTGTTCCAAAATTCAATTCAATAAAAAAAAGTTGTTATAAAAATATTTTGAAATAAAATATACTTAGTTCACAAACTTTTGACTCCAAATTTTTATTTTATTTTTTATTAAAAATTGTTTGCTTTTTTAAATATTTATGTTCGTTAAGTTACTTTTTAAAAGAAACCATTCTGATTCTTTGTTAAAAGAACAATACCATTAATATTTTCTTGTAGTCACTGTATTAGTGAGTTAAACTCTAATTTAACGCATTACCAAGTGATAGTGTATAATCATTTTAAGTATTTTTTAACAAAAACTAAAAAAAGTAACGAAATAGACATTGGTATCACAACGGACTGGGGTACACAAAGGACTTAATCAGATAACGTAAAAAAGAAACTATATAGGGTGGTACGATTTTAGAGTAATGCATAAACAAAATACCTTGTAGTGATGCTTACTTGCACAATAACAACTTAGATTTCTAAATTGTAGACACCCTTTTTCTTTGACTATAAGCTGGTGAAGGTCTTGCGTCCCTTTTAGTACTTTTATATTGCGAGGAAATTTCCCTTGTAATCCCAAATAATTTTAAATTGGTTTATCATAAACTACTTTTAATAAAAGCGACGGTAAATATCCACTTTGTTGTCGAAAAATTTTATTGCGTTACCCTAAATTCCATTGCGTTACCATAAGGAAACATAATGGACTCGGTAACGCAGTGGAAATAGTTTTGTGAAACCATATTTAATACTGTATTAACTAAGGATGTTATGGATTGCTATAAAGCAAGTTCTGGTTATTCAATATGAAAAAAAATACATGTATGTAAGTTTTATAAAACGCTAATGGGACATGCGATAAAGTGTGTTTCACAAGTTTCAAAATTAAAAAAAAAATATTCTGAAATAACTAAACAAACATTTTCTGAAAGAGTTTACTACTTCACTTGGTTTTTAAATCAATAAGATCCGATAATTTTTAAAAAAGTTATTGGAATTCAAACTTACGGACAGCGAAAGGCGGGTATTTTTTGAAAACAACTCGTATACAATGGTCTAGTAAGATCACAATTAGATTTCGGATCAATTTTATTAAGTCCCATACACAAAAATTTTAAAAATAGACTTCATTTCACCCAGAATAAAGCATTAAGGGTTATTACAGGCACTATAACGCCATACTTGCAGAATGTGCAAAAACCCCATTATCTAAAAGAAGAAAATGGAAAACCAAATTTGTATAAAAAATAATTCAATTTAAATCTCACCCCTTAATTCCCATGACAATGCTAAAACAAGACTGCTCAAAGCCAAACACATATTGAAATCAAAAGAATACCCCTACATCATCCAAGTAACACCCCTACTTAATAAATGCATAAACACAATTAGAAGAAGTGATCTTATTCCTTGCTTTGAAATCGAATATTGTTACCAGTTTGCCCAAATTAAAAATAAAAATTTAAACTTAAGAAAAAATTTTAAACTATATAAACAATAAAATAAAACGGGTATAGGACTCCCAGACCATCTTCAGATATGCACAGCAGAAATGGCCGCAATGTAAGGGTGTAGAAAATGCAATCTCTAAAAATATAAAACGTAACCTAATTTTAACAGACTCTTGAAAAATTACTAAACAATAAATACTCATCAAAAGACCAATATAATATATATATATATATATATATATATATATATATATTATATCGATTACCACTAGAAGTTTTATTACAATAACCACAGAAAACGATTTTGACTTTATATTAGCATGAGTACCAGGACACGACGAAATCCACGGAAATGTGGTTGCAGACCAACTAGCGAATATTGGGGTAAACCTTAATGTCCCTTTAAACTATCAACCAGAGGTAACAGAAATACTACCTGAAATAAAAAAAGAACTTTACCAAGAATACGACAAGGAATGGTTAAAAACATTTCCCAGAACAGGGAGCTGGTATGGAACGATAGTCGACGAACTTCCGAAGACACCTAACACAGAATAGGTATACTAGAAAACCCCTACTGCGAATGCGGACAAGTGGGTGACCTAACACATATTTTACTAGAATGCCCAATCAATGGCGACATATACTTCGAACTAGGACAAAATGGATTAGAATTACCGACAAGCCTACAACTGATTATGAGAAACCTTCATAACAAAACTAAAAATACTGTTAAAATTTATGAACTAACACAAAATAATATTATAACATTTATTTCTTTTTACAGATCCTTCCAAATTGGAAGTTCCAATAACACTTCCTGGGTTCCTATACCGAGGTAGCATCTACTGGGTTGTCAAAGTCGCTTGTAAGGTCTGTCCGTACTAACACCCTACTAAACTCATTTTAGCACAAATACACCTAGAAATATAACGTAGAAAACAACCTTAAAACAACAATTAGACCAAGGGATGAGACAACTTAGATACTCTTAATTAAGTCCCTTGATCTTGGTGGAAACCGAAAAATATAATATGCTGGCCAAATAGCTTTTAAATTAAGCTAAAGGTCATTTCTCTAAACAAAGAATTGTGATCAGAATTAAGAAAAAGAAGTCAATTACATAAACTAATCCACAGAGCATAACTCATTCGTAATTTTTGACAGGCCTACTTCATTCGTAAATCTTAAAACGCCTGTTACATCAACTGCGGACGGATTTGAAGTCATCCCCCACCTGAGTTTGATCTTTAGGTTTCTAGTACTTCATAACCTTGCTTAAAATACCCCATAGAGACCCATAAAAATAATGTATCGGGCGCTAACGGACTCAATATGTGCATTTATTTGTCCATGGTTTTTTCCGGATTCGTCCCGATAGAAAATTTATAGGAAATTACCTATAGGCACACCATAACTTTTAAAATTGAGACCGATAGCAAATAACTCAAGGAAGGATATATAGGGATATCCCTGTAGAGCAACCATAAAACAAAATTTTGTTAAAACCTATGGGGTCCTATGGGAGAAAAGCTAATTTCTACCTTTATGTGTATTTTCCCTATTGAGACCGTTAATAAATCAAGGAAGGATATCCCTAAGGAACAACCATAAATCAGAACTATGGGTCCTATAGGTACATACCGATACACCCTATAGAAATACCATACAATCCGATACAAAAATCTATCGGTTTGAACAGGGTCTCTATGTGACATTTTAACCAGGGAATCCTACCTCACCCTTCTAAAGCGCGCCTGTGATTGGCCTCTTTATTTAATTATTAACTAATTAAGAGACCCTTTTACCCAATAACTAATTTTGAGACACCCTATATACCCTAAGTAAGTACACAGCACCAAAGATAATATCTTTGCACAGCACACGTATATTATTATTTTTAATTAAAAATATCTACTACCACTAGTACTATTTTATCATTTTTAATAATTTAAATTTTTTGCCCACCCCTTAATTTGAACAAAAATTTCAAATAAAAATAAAAGTAAATAACACTGTAGGTATTGTAGTATTTTCAACTCTTGAAATATCACAGCTAAATGCTCGGACACGTAAACATTATTTTTAGTCGTAGATTCCAAATCCGTGCTCGGTCTAAAAAAGTTTTTCCTGTCGGAAATCCGATCCGGGGACACACTGTATACTGGTATATTATAATTTGTAAAATAATATATTTCACCTCTTGTGTCAACATTCTTATGCTTTTTATTTCAATTAATATATTATCCTCAATTATACTTAATAAAATAGCAAAAAAACATTTTGAATTTTCTTCCTTTTGATCAATTAACTTTAAAATTAAAATTGTTTTTTTTAATTTGGAACTGATCTGTGCCTCCAGCCAAATTGATTTTTTTTTCAAATTTATACAGGGTGTTTTCAATATCTTTGAATTTTGACCTGATACAACTAAACCAAGCATGAATTTGTAATCTACGACCAAAAATTAAGTTTTCGTGTCCGAGCGTTTAGCTGTGATATTTTTACCTCCCAACAGTGTAATTTATAATAATTTATTTATTTAAACTATTTACCTTCCTTATCACTTTCTTCTAAATCAGAATTTTGTACATTAATAGCCTCATCAATCTCTTCAAATTCGAATAATCCTTCTGAATCAAAAGACGCTGCATGTGAAATTGTGGTACTTTTTTGCCTCTTTGGTGTAAATTTTAATGGCTTAAAAATAAAAAGTTTAATATTATAAACATAATTTACAACTTGTTTTACCAAAACTGTTGAAGGTGCTTGTTTATTTGTTGACAAATTTACCATTTTTGGCGTGGTTTCTACTTTTATGTTTCTTGAATTAAGATGTGTACTTTCAAATATATTATTTAATTTAATGCGTGCAACACTAAAAATAAATTTAATTATAAAATATATAAATACCCAGTATGTTTTGCAAGTTATAAAGCCGTGCGGGCGTTTTTCTAAATAATTTTGTTATTTATTTTAATCCTAAAAATCGATATCGAATCATGCAAAATTGTTATGCGGTCTCTAGATGGTCGTAAGAGTATGGCGAGGACCACACGAGCGTTTTGTCCTAGGGTAGGCTACCAACACTGCAAATGAAAAAATTGGCCTTATTCAAGTTTTATGAACCTTAATTTGGTTCTATTCTAGATTTATATTCGCAGCTCATGTGTACGAATACTTTGCTGCTCTTATACTTTGTGGATGTTTTTACCTTCATAGTTATTGAATATTTTGCAATGAATAAAAATTCGATATTAATTATTATCTTCTTATGCATAATCTGATTTCTACACTCAGGTGTTCAAATCTCGTGCTGATAAATAATATTCATTTTATCTTACGTCGACGATTTTACCTGTATTGTTTAAATATTTTGTGAATAGGAATTGGATATACTTAGGGAGTTATTCTAAACAGGTCAATTTTCTTAATACTTCCCTACAGACTTCATGCTAAAGTATTTGTAGTTAAAGTATGTTCTAATTTTTACACCTATTAAACATACAAAAAATAATAGCATTTTTTAAAAAATACACAAACTTTTTATACATATACTTATTTATTACAAAAAAAAATGAATCATTCAATTTTTTTTGACATATAGGTATCTAAAAAAACTTTCGAACGAATTATTCTGCATATAACTTTTTGTTTTTTTACTCGAATGCTTGCTAGAAGCATTCACGTGCTCAATACCATCAACAGACATTCATTCATCATTACACATTAACATTAAATAAAGTCTATACTTCCCGCAAGGGTTCAAATCTTTACTTTAATTATTTTACAGGATCGAGTTTATTTATGTTTTTATTAACTCCTATTTTTTTCGTATATAATTATAACCATTATAAAGTCCTTGCCTGACAACAAGAATAATAAAGTCAGTATTCATGCTGTTATGCATCAATGATTGACCGATTTAAATATTCAGTTGTGATTTGAATTGAAAGAAGGCGACTATAATAATATTTAAAATTGGTAGAAAGTTAGGTTAATTAACTGACAGCCCAGTTAGCCAGATGGGTCCAGAATGCCCCAGGAATTAAGGCATGTTATTTATTTTTTTTATTTTTATTTATTTAATACATCATCTAACAGTCCTTGGACCAATGACAAGATGAGAAAATTTAAACAAGTATTACATTATATTATATTCATATAAAATATACATATTCATATAAAATATACATATTCATATAAAATATACATAACAAAGTTAAGACACAAAAAAAAACTTTAAATATCAAATATATGGCAAAGCAAAAACACAATAATATTATAAGGAAAGATAAATAAATTAGGTATTTATAGTAATACTCCTTATTATTTGAAAAAATATCAAATATGTCTTGATAATAATTGTACTTTCGACACATGAAGTATAGGGGTGAAAAATTTAATATGTTTGTTTTAGGTGATGGCAGGTAAAATGTAAAATTATTTCTAGATGTAATACGAGGAACTCTAAAATATAGTTTACTTAAGAGATAAGGGCAGTCTATACTATTATTTAGAAGTTTAAACAAAAATACTAAGGATGCTTTTATTCTGCGTTTCTCCAAGCTTTCAAAATTAAACCTCTCGAGTAACATATTTTGGGGAAAACCGATTGGTGGGTAGAATCCATCAATTCTAAAACTAAGAATTTTGAGAAAGCGACGCTGTATGTGTTCAAGCGAATCGGAATGTGTTGAATATGAAGGATTCCATATTACACTGGCATATTCTAATTTAGATTTAACAAAAGTGTTGTAAAGTAGACTTAATGAGAAAACATCATGAAAATGCAAGGGATTTCTGACAATAAATCCCAAATTTTTGTTACCTACTCGCATTTATAATATTTTCCACATGCAAATTAAAGTTTAATTTGCTGTCATATGTGACCCCAAGATCTTTAATGTATTCACTTCGCTTTAGTATTCGGGAGTTCAGAGTCTAGTCAAATCTAAGAGGATATTTTTTCCTATTATAGGAAAGTACATTACATTTGTCAATGTTTAGAGGAAGGTTATTTTCAGCACACCAGTTATTAATTTTATCCAGCTTGTGTTGAAGGCGTTAACAATCATCTATACCTGTGATGCAAGAAAAAATTTTAGCATCATCAGCATACAATAAAACGTCGGGATTGACGCCGTCTACAATGCCATTGATAAATATGACAAACAATAAAGGTCCGAGTATTGATCCTTGAGGTACTCCTGAAGATGCAGTTATTTCGATAGACTTTGCACCATGACATTCAACATATAGTTTGCGGTTTAATAAATAAGAGGGAAAAAATTCAACTAAAAGTGACGAGAGTCCAAATTTAAATAGCTTATGTAAAAGAATGTCATGATCAAATCTGTCAAATGCTTTGGAAAAGTCTGTATATATTACATCTACCTCCTAAGTTTTTATCGAGATTGTTTGCAATAATGTCCGTTATGCACATTAAATTAGTAATTGTCGATCTATTTTTTACAAAACCATGCTGACTTACAGTAATCTGACTTTCGACATGGCAATACAAAAACTTATGCATAAGAATCTCAAAAATCTTAGAGAAATTATTAATTATTGCTATAGGTCTATAATTTTGACAACAATTTTTATCACCTTTTTTGTATACAGGATAGAGTTTCGACGTTTTCCATACATTAGGATATACACATGTTTTAAGAATTAAATTGAAAATTAATTTTAAAGGTTCAATAAAATAAAAAGCACAATCCCTGATTATAAATGCTGGTATGTCATCTGGACCTTTTGGGAATCTAAAGTGATATCATTATATGACATGAGAGTGGGTATAGAAGAGTTTTTGGTTTTTTGAGTTGATGTAGGACCAAAAAGATTTTGGATTATTTTTTATGTTGTTTTCGATGGTTTTTAGATAATTTTTGTGAGCAATATTTGTATCATTTTTTATTTTATCCCTTAAATGCTTAAATTGATTGTAAATTTCAGAATAATTATTTTTTTATACTCTTGCCACAGCTTATATTTCCGTTTTAAATCTGATATGATCATAGAATTATACCAGGGTGGATATTTATTCTTTTTGACGAATGACTTATATTTGGGTAAATTTAAATCAAAAATATTGTACAACTTTTTATAAAACAAATCACATGCAAAATTAACGTTACTCACATTTTTTAAAAAATTCCAGTCAACTGAGCTTATATCCTCGTATAATTTAATAAAATTAGCTTTTCTAAAATTATAACCATTGTATTGATTTAAAAGTGGGTTTGCAAGATTATCTAAAGTAATGTCTGGATATATATTTAAGGGTGGATGGTGAGGATGTATATTTAACATAATGTCATGAGAATTTTCAATTTGGCAGGCGGTGTTTGAAAAGACAAGGTCAAGTAGACGATTATTTTTATTGGGTACGGTGTTATATTGTTGTAAATCAAAGTAACTTATAAATGTATTTAAATGTCCAAAAACTCCCGCAAAGTTTAAACTCCCTACCTATTCATTAAAGTTTGGAATATTAAAATCACCAATGATAAATATTTTCTGATTTTCTAAGTAGTTTAAACTTTCAAATAATTCAAAGAATATACTATAATGATTTGTTGTTAAGGCTGGTGGAATATAAACTATAAATATATATATTTTTAAATTTCTTATTATGATTTCAACACCAACTACGTCAATTAAAGGTATGTGTTGCTTAAAAATGTCTAAATTTAACTGCCTAGAAGTTACATTACAAATTACAGCCAGCAGAACACCGCCCCCTCTTTCAAGACGAACAGAAGAAAAGTTGCGATCCGCTCTGTATACTGAATATTCGTTGCTAATTATCTCATTGTTTTATGCCGACACGTGGCCCCAATCTTAGGTCATAGCCTGCTGCAGATCTTGGGTTTTATATGTTTGCTTTCGTGGACAGACCAATTTAAAGTGTCCATAAAAAAACAAAAAATTGAGGAAATTACGTTTTTCTTTTCTTAAAAATTGTCTTTTTGGGGAAGATTTGAATTTTTTGAAATTTTTTAAAATACAAAGGATCATTGTTTGTAAATTTGGCTAAAAATTACGCTCACATTTAATACCCTATATTTTTTAAACGACTATAAAGATTTTTTTTTCAAATGTTTAAAGTAACTCCTTATCTCTAAAATAATGGAAATTTTAATAGTAAATTAAAACTTACATAAAAGTTATAACGTTTTAAAGACACATTGATAAATTTAGGAAAATATTTTTTACATAGACAAATGGCCGCGATTAACTACGATTACACTGTAAATTGTTCCAAATTGTTTAGTAAGCTTTCCTTTATAAGCACACAACAAATTAGGTGCATATAAAAGTTATGAATATTTATTTGTAGCGCAGCATGGATAAATCGCGGTAGCTTAAGCTAAGAGTTAACTAAAGTGTTGATTCCTCAATCGACTTCTAAAGATTTGTGCATATGCACCAGTTTATTTAAAAACATAAATATTATGTTACATTTTGTTTATATAAATTTTGAATATCAAGTAGAATTTGTTTAACCATTATGCAGGCGCACCTCTTTATGCAACGTAGTAGGTCGCGCGGGGTGTCAGAGACACCCCTGATGGCAAAGCGTCCCTGAGTGTTATTTACATTTTTTTTGTTTTTTTTTTAAGGTTATCAAGTTTAGATGAGCTGAAAGACAATGAGAACATATTTCGTTGCGTTCAAATTTGATAAAAGATGACAAAAAAAAGAAAATGTCAAAAGGCGACAATTTTAATCAAATAAAGCATTTATTTAAAAAAAAACAAATTTTAAAAGTCATAATAATAATAAAAACAAAAAAAAACACTAAGCACTTAAGATAAGGTTTACTTTTACAAGTAATTATGATTTGGTAAGAAAAAAGTCAATAGGGAG